CTAGAGCTCCAAGAGATGTGTTGTCGAGACTAAAGAACTCTTCAACCTTGATTCCAATATATACTCCTATTTAGGAAGCTTCTCAAGCAACTTCTACCAACTAAAAAACTTCTAGAAGGTTCAAGAGACTTGCTTCTAGAAGGTACTAGAAACTTATCTCTAGAAGGTTCTAAGGACTATATTTCTAACATCTTCTACTAACTAAGAAGCTTCTAGAAGGTTCCAGAGACTTGCTTCTAGAAGGTTCTAGAAACTTGTCTCTAGAAGGTTCTAAGGACTATGTCCCTAATAATTGTATGAAGTCCAAATTTGATGAAAAATGTATATTTGTTGAATATTATGAAGATACCAAGGTATATAAACTAATGGATTTGAATACCAAGAAGATCATCAAAATTTGTAATATAGAATTTTTGAAACATAAGAATGCTTGTAAGCACTTCAAAATGTGTCCAAGTGGAAGTAATAGTATATTTGTGAATACATCTTCAATTTCAATAAAGAAAGAAGAAGATGATGATGACAATGAAGAGGGTGTGAATGAAGATGAAGAAGCAAAGAAAGTAAATAAGGAGGCTTCTATAATTCCTAAGACCAACAATGAAGATGTTCAAGATGTTAAGGATGATGATGATGAAGAGGAGTATCAATCTTTGAGTGAAAAAAGATAAGGTTTAAAAAAGAAGAAGCTTGGAATCAAGCATGGAATACAAGATAAATCTTCTACAAATGAAAGGAAATATCCTTTGAGAGATAAAAAATAACTTGGTGAATAGTGGAAGAATCACATCTTTCTTCAAGTAAGTGAAGAACATACCAATGTTACATTCTTTGCTGATCCATTGAATTTATTTGATACAATGAAGTGAAAAAAGGCCATGGAAGTTGAATAGAAATCACTCATGGATAATGGAATCTGGAAATTGACTCAACTTCCTCTAAATTGATCTTCAATTAGTTATAAGTGGGTATTTAGAACCAAAAAAGAATTCAATAAATAATATTATAAGATATAAGGCAAGATTAATTATCAAAGGCTACTCATAAGTTTTTGATACTGATTTCAATGAGATATTTGTTCTCATGGCCAAATTCACCACCATTAGAATCATTGTGGCAATTGGGGCAGCAATGGACTTGGGGATACATCAAGTGAATGTGAAGACGGCTTTCTTCAATGAAGAATTGAAATAAGATAATTACATGGATCAACTTCAAGGATTTGTTGAAGATAGCAAACAATACCTTCTTTATAAGTTGAAGAAATCCTTGTATGTATTAAAACAATCACTAAGAGCATGGCACCAACATTTTGATACATTATTTTTGAATAAGGGATTTATAAGAAGTGAAGCTGATCATTCTTAATATATGATGCAATCAAATGAATTCAAATTGATTGTTATCCTCTATGTTGATGATTTGATCATATTAAATAATACCATGAAGAAGATAGATTGATTGAAGGCAAAGTTAGAGAAAGAGTATGAGATGAATGACTTGAGAGAACTCTACTACTATTTAAGAGTGGAATTTATAACAGATCATAGTAACAAGACCATTATAATGAGTCAAAGCAAGTACTTTAAAGAAGTATTGAAACGATTCAATATGGAAGATTACAAGCCCATTGGAATACCTTTAGAAGCCAATTCAAAGTTGATGAAGCTCACAAATGTAGAATTTGCTAAAGTTGAAGAAGAAATAAAAGGTATTCTATACAAAGCACCAATAGGCTCACTCACATATGCAATAGTTGGCACAACGATGGATCTTGCATATGTTATGAGTATTATGAGTCAACACATGTTAAAGACTAGACCAATCTATTAAGTAACCATCAAAAGGTTCATGAGATACTTAAAAGATACTTTAAACTTCAATTTGTATCTTGGAGAGAATAATATTGCATTACATGATTATTGTGATGTAGATTGGACTGGAGATGCAAATGATAAAAGATCAACAATAAGATATGTATTTTTTATTGGAGTGGGAGCAATCTCATGGAATTTCAAGAGACAACCAATAATTGCAAGGTTCACAATGGAGGAAAAATACATGGTAGGAAGTCATGGTGTAATAGAAGCAATTTGGCTAAGAGAAATTTTAGAAGACATTGGTCTTGTGCAAATGGAAGCAACTCTAATGAAGTGTGATAACTAAGGATATCTTGCTTTTACAAAGAATCTAAAGCATTTCTAAAAAACCAAGCACATTGACATTCAACATCACTTCATAAGAGAGAAGATTGAAATGGGAGTGATTGACATGAAGTATTATGCAAAAAAAGACATGCTTACTGATTTGCTAACAAAAGTACTAGTAAAAGAGAGGCATTAGAAGTTAACAAAGGTACTAGGATTAATAGCCTTTCACCAATAGCAAAGTGGAAGTGTTAAAGTAAATAAGTGTTATCATAGATATGATAAAATAAATTAGTATTACTATAGATAAGTGGCTAATGGTCAAAGAGTAGCAAAAAAGTGAAGAGAAGTAACTAAGGTGGCAGTTAGGGTTTTATTGGATTAAACAAAGATGAATGAAGATGAAGTTCAGGCATAATAGATGTAAATCCCACCTATAGGTAAAAGATGTTGGAAGTGAGAGGTATCTCATTCCACACTTCTCTTATGTACAACCTTGCTAATTTTTACTTACTTATATGTTGCTTCTTATATTTTTTCAATAAAATAGGTCTCATAGTTATTTAAAGAATTATTAAAGACACAAGAATCTGACAAAAAAATATGTCAAAATTAAAGACAAAGAATGAGATTGATAGAAAAAGTGGTTCTAAAAATTACTATTTTTATAATAATGAAGATTATAGAAGTCTATGGTACTTTCTATGGAAGTTTTTAGAAGTCTACAGAGGCTTCTAGAAGCCTGTAGAACTTTCTAAAAGATTGTGGAAGATTTTACAAGTATCTAGAAGGTTTTAGAAATTTTTAGAAGATTTTAAAAGGTATTAGAATGTGATAATTTGGAATATACTTGTGCTAAAAATTGTGATTAAGAATGATGCTTTTATAGCTCTTAGTAAGCATTAATGATGTCATTAGATTAGTAGTAATATTATCATAGTAAATTTGATGATGATAAAATATTATAATATTGAATAATTGATAGAATTCAAAAATTAGACACCATACTTAAAAAATTGTTTCAATATTATTCCAAATTAGATTAGACATAGGTCCACAATTATTTAATGGTATTTTTTTAACCTATGTTCATTTGGTAGCTTTAAAAGAGTACTTTATTTACTATACAAACCACATGTCATTATTTACTATAATTCATTTATAATACACCATTCTTTCCAAAATATATCAATAATGAAATAGTTTTTTGAGTCACTGTATATATAAAAATTAAATCATCTATCTTAAATTTTGATATTATAAGTTAAAAATAAATAATTTAAATTAATAAAGATATAGTAGGTTAAATCATCTACTTCCAAATAAAAATATGTATAAATTTTTTTTTAATTATAAGTTATAATTTTTAATTTTAATAAGATATTTTTATTCACTAACAACTCTATCACTATCATAACCATTTTTGAAATTAAAACAATAATTATTTAGAAATAAATCTTTAAAATTAAAAATAAAATAAAATAATATATATATATATATAAAGCCTTCTAAGTAAATTTTAAAAAATATTATATAGCCTTAATTAATCATTAAAAGTTTAATATCTAGATTTTAACCAATTTTTGTAAATGATTTTAAAAAAAATTATACAAGTATCATCTTATTATATGTGTTATAGAAGAATTTGTTATTGGTTGTGATATCTTATTTAATGTATATTAAAAATATATAATATATTTTTTTTTAGAAATAGAAGCTACTTTATAAAACTATCATACTATTTTAGCTTCTTTCATTTGCATATATATGTTTTTATTCTATTTGTACTATTTGATTTAACAAACTATGACAAGTTAGCTACCAACAACAAAAACATTATATGCTTTGAATGCTCTAAAGCTCACAACAAAATATAAATAAAAACAATTTTTGAACCTAAATTTATATTTATATATATATACGAAATGCCAACAATAGAGTCTCTGCAAACTGTACTTGACATTACTTACAACCACCACTTAGCATCTTCATGGTTGAATTATTTACCTACCTACTTGATGTTCTTCAACTGATAACATCGTTTGAAAATAATAAAACTTTGCAACCTGAGTAGAAGTCTTCTCAAAATGAACAACAAAAGCCAGCAACTTGGCCATATTTTTCACTTGATATATCCTATTCACCTCTTCAATTAGAACCCTCATTCTAAACAAGCATCTTAATGTCTCATGCATGCAACCAATTCTACCTGAACACTATTCTCAGGAAGATTAACTTCGTTTTCCATTCAAGGTTAAAGTCATATTCTAATGTTGCTATTCATGAACACATTTCACTTTGAAAGCTTTCTGTAAACATTTTTAGCAGGTCTATATGCTCTCTTCGACACCCAAATGGCTGCCTTGAAGAAGAAGCATCAACAACTCTCCTCCTTTCCACCATGAAATTGGATTCTACCAACGATGCCTGAAAACTGAACCATGACTAGTACGTAAAGAGTAAGAATTACAATCAAGGCACAGAAATGATATACAACTGCAGGGTTGTAGTTTTCTCACCTGGCTGCTGCTACTTCTCCTTCATCATCTTCTGCTTCTTCACCTTCTTCTGCTGGCTTTTGTCATAGTAGCCAGCTCCTCCGAGTTCGATAGCAGCTTCGGGTACTGATGCGACCCATTACAGTAGAAGGATTATCAATGGCTGACCAAGATAGGTGAAGAGATCGTGCCACGCTGAAAGGCAGGAAGCATGCCGGGTTTATGGACTTCAGTGACAGGACCACATCATAGGAATGAAGACTTGTCCGGTCTGGTGGATCCTCTGCACTACTGTCATCTCGTCGCTGACATCGGACCCCTATTTGTTGGTTATAATGGGTCCACACGAATCTGGGTTCCTGCTGCTGCAGCTCATTGTCATATATCCTTCAAGCACTTGTTGTTTGTGGTTTTGAAGTCCACAGTGACATTGGCTTCATCACCGGTTAGTTCTTCACTGTTCCATGAGTGAGTGTGAGTATCAGCGCTTGGTTATTGTAATTGCTGCAGTGTTTTTGTCTTCTGTAGCAGAGCATGGATAATCCCTGCTGCCCCACTTTTACCTGAGATTTTCATCTACATGGGATGTGATGCTTCTCATGTCTTGCTGTGGCTGGAGTCCGTGCGGGAGTTCATTGACCTCAGGGGACACAACCAATGCTCAGTTTGTTCGCCGTTGTGTTGGTCTTGTGGTTTTCCAAAATTTGACAGTCGCAAGCGATTGCATGGTCTTCGTCCAGCGCTTGGGTGTTAGTGAGAGGATTCAGAAGATTCGACCAGCCCCTGAATATTGCCTGGACATGTGATTTTTCACTTTTTTAAAGTTCGGGTGAGCGCCACAAATGAAACACATGGCGATGAGAAAATTTCCGGTGTCAGAGAGAGTGAGGGTATCAAACTCGGAGGTTGCAAGCCCGAGGTCCTGCACGAAGGAGGCTGGCATTGTGGTCATTACGGCTGTTTGCGTATTGACTGCAATTTTTACTACATTTGTGGTGGCAACCTCCCCCATCGATCCAATTCCGCTAGTGCTGCCACGGCACACCATCCCTTGGGTCAGGGAGAACCGGAAGTTGGAGTGCGTGGAGAAGCTCGGGGAAGGATTAGTGTTAGGGCCAGAAGACGTGGTAGTGGCAAGGGACGGTAGTTTGGTGGTGGCCACTCGAGATGGTTGGGTGAAGAAAGTGTGGCCACGGAATGGCACCGTGGAGAACTGGAAACGTGTGGGTGGATATCCCTGTGGGTTGGCGCTCGGTGTTCATGGGGAGATTCTAGTTGCCGATCCTCTCCAGGGACTGCTAAATGTCACCGACGATGATGAAGTCCGCTGTATCACAAGCACGGCCGAGGGGACTCCAATAACGTAAGATCGAAGCTTGTCACTGTGTTCAATTCAGTTGATACGATTCATACTAGACTGATGGTATCGCAGTATGAAATGTGCACTGATGCGTCGAGGTTTGCATGGCGTTGTTCGACTTCAGGTTCCCAGACAGTGTGACGGTATCGGGAAAAGGGCAAATTTACTTCACGGACGCATCCACGAAGCATTTGCTACACTTCTGGCACCTCGATGTCTTGGAGTCGCGCCCTCACGGCCGAGTGCTCAACTTTGATCCCACCACGGGCCGCACTACAGTATTGATGAAGGGACTAGCATTCGCGAATGGCATCGCGCTTTCTCCAACTGAGGATTTCCTTGTGGTGTGCGAGAGCTGGAAGTACCGATGTGTTCGTTACTGGCTGGAAGGGGAGTTCAAGGGCACGTTGGAGACCTTCATCGACAATCTGCCAGGATTACCAGACAACATCCATCTCCACGCGCCTTCACAGACTTTCTGGCTCGGCCTTGTGGGGGGCCGGTCATGGCTTACTGACCTAACTCTCAAGTCTGCATTGCTGAAGCACTTTTTCGCCAAGTTTTGGCATCACGTCACTCCGTTCAACTTCGAAAGAGGAGAGCTGATTGCCATCAATCTCCATGGACAAGTCATAGTAAGCTATCAAGACCCGCGGGGTGCTCGATTCTCTTTCGCCACAGGAGCGGTGATTCAGGACAACTATTTGTACATCGGATCCTTGACCGAACCCTTTCTGGGCCGCCTGAATTTAGATCTACAAGAGTGCACTTGACCGCCACAATATTCACACTGGCCTCTGTATTGATGCTCATTCGCAAAGCCAGGCGCCTGTTATGATACAATCAACAAAATTCTTGTTCATTGGATGTGTTGCCCAAGTTTGATATGGAAGCTCTCGATTCCTTACTTTCATAAAATGTGTGATAATTCAGAGAGGTGAACTAGTGGAAGAATCTTAACATCCAGCTGCAATGCCAACTTCTATCTCAACAAGTGCGAAAATTTCCTCCATCGTGCCGTTTTTTTTTAATCATATTATTCTAGGGGTTACAAATTCTTCAGGGAACTGACTGGATGTTTCGTTAGATCTACCAGCTCAACTCTCGTGGGCGTGCAGCCGTTATGATTTATTCTTCGCCTTGGTTTGCATGAAACGGAAGTGTCCTTGGAGGGAAAAGTGTACCAGGATCCCGTGTTCACAGTTAGCTTAACTTTCAGGTCATCGTAGCTTTGCAAGCAAGCGATGGGTTAAATTTGAAACTTCGTGTCGATGTCACCAACTTTCAACTGGTGAACCAATGCGAACCTTTTGGACATGGCCCTGTTGGAGGGTCTCAATTTTCTCGGTCCAGATTCACTTTCTATCATTCGTCCACATCTTATGAGTTTTACTCATGTTATGTTGTTGACATGCTCGACAGTTGCCTAATTTTAAATTTCTATAATTCGTTGAATGTCGCTAAAGAATTTTTCTGGTAAAGTGAATGCTGACCGAGCCCATCACCTGATATTGAGGTTGAGAAGCTGGTTACGCTAAGCACATCCTTGGACGGCCTCCTTACTCTTGTGCTGAACTTTCTTAGTGCCTCAAGATCTTTCAGAATTAATTGATCCATGTCCTCCCAGAGCTAGCTCAGTTTTTCTAGGTCTCCATACTTGCAAACATTTGGAGCAGAGCTTGTAAGATAGATCCGAGGGGCTACCTAAGAATTCATCGTGCACACATTCCACTATTGCCTGTGTCAGATTCTAGCAAGATTATTCTACAATTTGCGACAGGCTTGAATCTTTAACTTCAAATGCGCCAGTTCCGATGAGGATATCCAGAATCCACAATGCACGATTAGTTTAACTCTAGTCGAAATATACTATTCTAAAACTTAAACTAACTTTCTCCTCTCCAGAGCACCGTCACAGTTACCGAGAGGACCGTCATCACCAGCCAGGTTGCCCTTGGAAATAAGAATCCACCTCATTTTCGGAACATCAGACCTTTTCTGCTTCAAGGAATGGAACCGCGGGGAAACTTTCACCGAGGACACCATCACTGGCAGCTCCCACGCAGACAAGGGACTGGTAGTAGATTTTGGGCAACTTCACATCCTTGGCTCCAACATTTAGTACTGCAACTTCATTCAACTCATTGATTCGGCATCAGTCTTACATATTCCATGAGCGTGTTTGCTGCTGCTAACTTCGCACCATATGAAACAGGTTCTCGTCTTTGTTTCTGTCTTGTGTGCCTTGGTTAAGGCTGGAGATTTGCAGCGATTTGCATATGGTAACGAGCTGCTTCGACGCAGGACACCAAAAAGAAATTCCATTTTACACTCTGGCTAAACACAAGTCAATCCTGGTGTGCACGATCGCTCATTTTTATCCGCTGTGTTCGGCATGCATCGTTCGATCAAGCCCAGGAACGATGTCAGTACTTTGCATCATTGGTATTGCGGTGCCACACTCTACGAAGCTCAGTGGGCTCAAGATCTGTGAGACTGCTGGGAACTTCATTCGTTATCTTTTTTGCTTCTGTCCAGCTTTGAGTCTAATTCAAAGATTACTTCAACAACACACAATACTCAAGGTTGTACCAACATAGGTTAATCTTACTTGAATGATGATGATGCTAATGATGAAGCAAAGAATGAGAATTTCATCATGGAACATGTCACAAACTCCGAGTTTTGTTAGCATGAACAGAAAATCCCTTTTGAAAACAGTCAAAGTCAAAAGGAGAGATTTCTGTTAGAATACCAATATATGTTTTTGAGTTCGATTGTTAAATGTGATTAGTGTTTGTTCGTTGTAAATTTCAAGTTAACGTGAACTTTCACAACTATTTCACGTGTACTTCATCATTGTGCATATTGAAAAACATATGAAAATTAAAGTTCGTTCGCAGAAGATTATATATATATAGATAGATGTGTGTGTGTGTGCATAATTTTTAAAATATTAACTTACCCAACGGCGACCCAAGCACAGTCACAGAGGGGGGGGGGAGGGGGGGGTAGCAGACTTTTGCATGACAATGGGATAGAAAATGTCAAATGCCAAGTGGACGGGCATCCATCTATCTACACCCATTTTCAATTCATTCATCGACCGTGTCTGGAGGGGACAAGCCCTAAAACGGTCCTCTGATCTTCTTCTTCCCCTTCTCCATCGCAATTCGAGTCTAAGTACCCTCTCCCCGATCTAGCTTCATTTTCACTCGGGCCGGAGCTGTGGTACCGGTTGCCACCATTCTTGGAGTACAATCACCGTTCTCGGCTCCTCTTTCATATGATCCTCGAAGTTCTCGGTTTAGTCTTCTACGCGGGTAAGCTGATGCAAATTTTCATGCTGACATGAGACCGTTGGTTGGTGGCTGTGAAATTGTCTGGAGTTGGGTTGTGGCGTTGAGGTCCAGTGTTTGCGTAGGGTGAGAGTTGTGATGTATATTCAGAATGGAGATGTTGTGGGTTGAAGTCACCGAGGTGTTGTGGGGGAGGAGGGTTTGTGGTTTGGTGACGGTGATGGAGGGCATGGGTTGATGTGGTTTGAGAGGGCAGATCTCATTTGCCTTATAGGTAGACATGTCACAGAAGTTGATCGACATCAGCCGTGGGTGGGGTAGATGATTTCGCGGGAACCCAGTGTTCGTTTTCTTTTTTTTTTCTTTTTTTTTTTCTTTTTTTTTTCTTTTTTTTTTTTTTTTTGGAAAGTTGAGAGTAAGAGGAAATTTCTGCCTGGTTTAGGGGGCTTGAGGGAGGAAGGTCGGGGGAAGAGACGCTTGAGGCTGCTGAAAGGGGATTCACTCAGCGTCCCCATCCATTCGTCAATCTGGCGCAGAAGATCGGAAAATCGGTCCGACGGCCAGGTGTTATGTCCAAGGCCCGGGTTTACACAGATGTGAATGTCCAACGTCCGAAAGATTATTGGGACTACGAGGCCCTCACCGTCCAATGGGGGTAAGTTCCATGGCTATTCGATTCACTCCCTTTATGCTTCCTTAATTCCAATGTTCTACAGAGATATCTGGGCACGGTGAGGAATCATCGACTAGAAACCTTAAGTATTCTAGATGAATTTCAACTCTGCAACATGCGGCATGTGCCCTTGGGTCATTCTTGGTTACTGCATCACGTTAGAATGGAGTAGACGTAGTGGATTCCCGTAGTTTTTACCGACGACGCCTTTAGTTTTGGCTGAAATCAATTTTGTAGTAGGATACAGCTTTTCCACTTCTATCTTTGCAGGTTCGTACTTGGTAGTGCAGTTTATTTTTAACATGAAACCCTAGCTCATATGCCATCACAACAGTTTGTGAAACACTAACCTTCGAAAGGCTAATCAGATGAAATAAAAGCCATTCTTTTTCATTATAAACATTCCTTGATGTCTTCGATCGATTCTGCAGTGTGATGATTAGTGCTCTTGTCAACGTCTTCCGTCACAGTGTCTGCGCTATCGGTCTAGTATATGATCGCTAAGGGATGTTTGGTATTCTTATTGTAGAGCGACCTTTCATTATTGGGTATATGTCAGCAAGTGAAGTAGTTGTATCAGTAGGTGTTGAACTGATCTGTTCATCGATTTCCAGGGACCAAGACGATTACGAGGTAGTGCGTAAGGTGGGGCGAGGGAAATACAGTGAGGTTTTTGAAGGTGTCAACGCCGTGAATAGTGAGCGTTGCGTTATGAAGATTTTGAAGCCAGTAAAGAAAAAAAAGGTACCTGACTGCTAGTGATTTTTATGGCTGGCGTCCTAGTTTTTAGTTGTGAAGTTTCAACAAGTGACATTTTCTTAGTTACTTACATCAGAAACAGATAATTCCTTGGGCAGAACATCTTTAAATAATTCTTACGGTCTGCAAAAGATGTGTTATCTCTGACCTCATGTCAACAATTTTGGATTTGTCAATAGATCAAAAGAGAGATCAAGATTCTGCAAAACCTTTGTGGAGGGCCCAACATTGTGAAGCTTCTGGACATTGTCCGTGATCAGCAATCGAAGACACCCAGCCTAATTTTTGAGTATGTGAACAATACTGATTTCAAAGTGCTCTACCCCACTCTTACAGACTTTGATATCCGATACTACATTCATGAGCTGCTCAAGGTGAGTGGTCAGTCTTTTTTCCGAGGCTTGATCTGCTTGGTTTTGTACAGAAACATGATGCTGATTGCGACCGTGTATCGCCCAAAGTGACGTTTAGACCAGTCTTTCTGCTTCTTCTTTTTCTTTTCACTCTTTTTTTTAAAATTCTTCCTATCTTGGTTTGCCATTCCTAACAACTTATTATCATACTCATGCAGAGATATAAATGTGGGTTACTGACGGAGTCATTGTTGCAGGCTTTGGACTATTGCCATTCTCAAGGGATTATGCACAGGGATGTGAAGCCACACAACGTGATGATTGACCATGAGCAGCGGAAGCTTAGGCTTATTGACTGGGGACTTGCCGAATTCTATCATCCTGGCAAAGAGTATAATGTGCGTGTTGCCTCTAGGTGAGTTTCAGAGGCTTCTTGAGGCAGTTACTTAGGGAGGACTTTATATTATGTTTGGCTGAGAATCCGGACATCAGAATCATGCTTCATCGAGTAAGCTTCTAGTATGAGTGACGTATCCTCAATTCAAACAGAACCTTCATTCTTTTCATTTCAATTTTCAGGGAATACTCGTTCGATGAATGAACAGTCACAGTTCTATAATGTAATGAACTTTACTGATTTTATCTTTTGTATGTTTAGTAGATACGATGCATCTCATCTTCACAGTTTTTGGGAAACAGGTACTTCAAGGGTCCTGAGCTGCTGGTTGATCTTCAAGATTATGATTACTCTCTCGACATGTGGAGCTTGGGGTGCATGTTTGCCGGCATGGTAAATTTAATTCCAAGTTCAATATTTCGATGGTCCTTGATTATCACAGTTTGTCGCTACGTTGATTTGCTTTTTGGTTTAGTTTTTGAGCTTGATTCTCGTTAAACAGGTGAATTGAAGTGATTGCAGATATTTCGGAAGGAGCCATTCTTTTATGGGCATGACAATTATGATCAACTTGTGAAGATTGCTAAGGTGCAGTGGCAGTTCATACATAGATTTGCCTTCAAGCAGTTATATATCACTTTTTATTTATTTTGTATAAAAAGTCATATTACTGTCTTTCGCAACGCCAAGTTGTGTTTTGAGCCTTATCTTTGTGGGTGTCTGATACCAGGTGTTGGGAACTGATGAATTGAATTCCTATCTAAACAAATACCGCCTAGAGCTGGACCCCCATTTGGAAGCACTGGTTGGCAGGTTTGTGTTCAGTATTCTGGATAAATCACGAGGTCTTTTTTTCAAGGGATACATTGTCCACCTTGCAACACCGAATGAGTGTTTGACTTCCGTCAAGTTACGACCGATTCGTGAACCGAATGAGGAGGAATGGCAAAATTCTTTGTGACGTCTCTTACTACTGTGTTGTTGGTTCCTTCAGGCATAGCAGGAAACCTTGGTCAAAGTTCATCAATGCTGATAATCAGCATCTGGTTGTTCCAGAGGTATGTGAAGGTTTTGAAAATTTGGTTAGATTGCGTATCATCAATCATTTGCTTCTGGTTCTACATGTTTTTCACGCATACCATCGTGAGTCTTCGTGTTCAACATTTTGTTTATATTAATGAAAGAGTAAATTGTTATTTTCTGCAGGCTGTGGATTTTTTGGATAAGCTTCTACGCTACGATCATCAAGACAGGCTGACTGCGAAGGAAGCTATGGTATGTATTTGACGTAGGTTGTACAGTGTAGAATAGGTTGTACAGTGACTACAAGTATATGTGGAGCGCCCCATGTCATTTGACCAAGACTAGGTCTAAAGGGATGCCGTATGTTTCTGTTGTACTCTATTCCTTGATTTTTGGATTCTGTTTCTGCAGGCACATCCCTATTTTTATCCCGTGAAGGTGTCGGAGGTTAGCAACCGTCGCAGTGCTTGATATGAATTGATATATCTCATGTAAGTATTTTCCATCTAAACTTCAAGAACAAAAAAAGTAGCTCTAGCTGTGGGGATTCTGGTGTGATTGTCAACACGTGAACTTTACTCAAAGAAACAGGTTCTACTGGTCAGCAGGGTTCCGTATGAATGAGATCGGTGTACCGTATCACTCTCGTGACAGTTGTTGTTCACATTTTCAAATCCACTTAGCGTCACAACAAGTCACACAAACCTGTTCCCCTTGATCGCCTGCTGGGTTGTATGTAAGGAGCAGATTTTGATCGCTTTCAGAAACGCTAGAATCGGTATTGAATATGAGATGGACAGCTCAATCTGGTTTTGTGTTGCAGATGGGCTTTCTTGTGATTACGTCCCACCCGGCTACCAGGTTTCTCAGTTGTGCGAAGCGCTTCGTTATTTGATCGCTTTTTGCTGTGACTAAAGCTTTTGTGGGTGGATATGTTATGTAACTTCATTCATCAAGCTTAGGTTTATGCTTGGAGATCACAGGAATCCATGTTCTTGAACATCTTAATATTTTCAAACTTAGGAACTCATTTGACTCTTTGAAGCAGCTTTTGCTTTTAATTGTTGAAAAAAAAAAAAAAAAAAAATGGAGTCATTTCTAAGGTCTCAAAGATGGCTTCATTTCTTCGATTCTCCCAGCCTCTCGTTCATCTGAATTACTGTCATAGTGTCCACAATCCTGATTGCTGGTAGTAAACGCCATTTTTCCTCTAAAATTACGCTTGTCGTATGTCCTGTCCCTATCGTGTGTACTTCAAATTATATTTTCTAGTTTATATCGATGACCTGGAATTGTACAGCAATGTGACTAGTGAAATAATCCCGATCGAGCAGGGAAAAGCTGATTCCAGAAGTCAAGTCCAAGAAATGTACCTAGAAATGCCGTTTCATGGTACATGATTGGACCTGCACGGCAACCTGTGTGTTGTTGCAATTTGTGTGGCACGTTAAAAATTATGAACGTTAATTGTAACTGATAATTTACTAGTAATGGACACAGTTTTCGATGATTTCATTTGTAACATTGTCCAAGGGCTTGGATATGTACATCAATTTGAATTTGAATTCATCATAATCAATGTGATTTATGCTATTACTTGTATCTTAAAAAGATACATATCTGGGTTTTGATTATTTATGTTTAGCTTACATTGTAACTTTTACAAATCCGGAACCTGTCTTTCACTCAAACCTTTTTGCTTCGTAAACTTGACATCCAGGCATGTCAATAGGGATAAATGCAAGGTAGATGCCTCAAACTTTGTGGGCAATTCATCAATGAATAATTAACTATTCTAAAATTTGAACTATCAACTGTCAATGTAGGCCCAAAGTCTATGATTTGTGATTATTATTATTGTATTTCACAAACAGAACAAACAAAAACGTTTTCAGGCAACTAACCAGCGAATTTTAAAAAAATGATCTGGAATGAGCAGCCATTTAGATTTGCTGCCCATCCATCATCAAGTACTAGCTGGGTACCTGTTCTTCTGCGGCCCGACTGCCAGCTCTGCAGACTCGTCTGGAAAAAACCATCAGAAGCACCGAATTAGATCCTAGTCATTAATTGTTAGAGATGATTTGTTTGGATTTAAAAATGATATTTGGTTTTTAGTTTCTCCAAGTCAAGGTTGCTTTAGATAGAAAATATTTTAAATATGGTGAATGATATTTTTATAGATTTTATAGAAGGTGTTATTCACAAAAATAATAATTAGATATGTATATTATAAGCTTAAGTAATAACAAAAGGATTTGAATTGCATTGTAATAAGATATGTATATTATAAGCTTAAGTAATAATAAAAGGATTTGAACTGCATTGTTGATATGAACATATATTGTAAAATTAATTAATATGATCTTACCAATATGTAAAAGAAGTTGTGGATAATTGATTGTAGAGCACTTAAAAGATTATGATTTGAAAACTAATATAGTGATTTGTAAAAAATTGTAATTGGTGTGAGTATGACTGGTATAAAGTGTTTTTATTTTTTTCCTTTTTTTAATTAAACATTAATTTGATAAAATTATTATTATTATTATTTTGGTATATTTTTAAAATTTTAAATTAAATTTCTAGAATCAAAAATCTTAATCACTAATATTCAAAGCATAAAAACTAATAGATTTTAATAAGATAAAAGTCTATTAATATAATAAAAATGATTTAATTTAATAATAAATTTACTTATAGATCAAAGTTATGATTTAAAGATAATTGTGTGTTAATACAATATATTTGCCTATATTACTTTTGGCCTTCTTATCTCATTTGTTGTCTGTAGGTAACTTTAAGATTAAAATATGCTTCAAACTTGCAACAATGATAGACTTAAATTTTTTCCACAAAAATATATAGTAAATAAGGTATATACATTGCTTATGCCAAACAAGAACAAAAAATATAAATTTTTTTTATTTTTATATTTAGAAAATTATTATTTTTATGTTACCAAAATATTTGAATAAATATATTTTTTTAATATATAGTTAATATGGTATATATATTTTTTCTTTTTATATTTGACAATTTTTTTTTTATTACCAAAATATTTAAATAAATATATTTTTAATTTAGAAAAATAGTTTTAAATATATATATAAATATTAATATTTATGTAAAAGTTATGAGGTAGTTTAAAATATGTTATGTTCTTATGAATAACTAAAATATGATTCTAAATATAATCAACTAGAATCTTAAAAAAACATATTATTAAAATATGAAATAAAGTACTTTTAATATATGAATTGTGTATTTAAAGGATAAATTCAAATTATTTACAAAAAATTCATGATAGCAAATTTTAACTTAGTGCTTTTAAAAGATTAGAGCTATGTCCAAAATAGAATGCACTAATGGAAAATATGTTTTTTCACAATGCCATGTCTTTGTTGAAAATAGAGAAACAGTAATAAAAGAAAAGAAGAAGAAAAGAAAAATAAAAAAACAACTAAATAAAAATCAATGAACAAGGTTGTATAAAACCTTGATTATATTGAGATTTTATTTTATCAATTGATAACTCTTAATGATGACATTGGAAGTTGTGGAATTAAATTTGATGAATTATATCTTATAGTAAAACAAATTTTCTTATTAGTAGAAAATTGTGGAGGATACAAATGATGAAATTTTTTAATATTTTGGATAAAGAACAAAGAGACATTTAGAAAGATATGTTGGAATTTTAGATATTTTTTTAAATCAACAAATAATATTTTTTGCCGAGTATTATTTAGAAGAATATAAAATAATTTAAGCTAATATGTTTAATTTTGCTACCTATAATGAAGTTAAAGAAGATAATCGAAATCATTCCAAGAGATTAAATAGTTCAATTTGTGATGTAATTTTTTAAAACTATAAATTAATACTATATCTATTATAAAGAAGAAAAGACTAACAGTACATTCAAGATGGAAAGATAGATGTCTCTAAGATATTATAAAATATCAAAATTTACAAATTGAGGATTCCAAGATAAACATGGTTTTGAATTTTTTTTAAAGTGGAAGTGGTTTACAGTCACAAGATTAACAAAAATAAATTAAAACTAAAAACAATAGATAGACTACATTTTAAACAATTTGTTTCTACATTGTGTGTGTGTGTGTGTCTACATATAAAACACATATTTTTGTTCAATTCATAGACTTTGGTAAGTCTAGGATTGATACTTGAAAAATTCTTAAAACTACAAAAAATACTATTATATCTATGGTACTACATGGTACATGATTTTTAAAGCATTGAATAATAAAAATCAATAATAACTGGTTTTTTATCAATTTTTAAAATTTGAAATGACATATCATATATATATATACATAGAAGAATTTTAATGTTATAAAAATAATTCATAGGAAAATTTGTGAGACTAAAGCACCTTAATATTGTGCATTAAAGAAAACAATTTACCAAACGACAGAAAAAAATAAAAAATAAAAAATAAAAACAAAAAACTTATTTTGATTTTTTTTATAAATTTTATGTTTATAATTTATTAGATTTTATTTATTTATAATATTAAAATATGAAACTCATTTGTTTTTATTAATCTTGGTAATACTTTCAACTTTGTATAATAATAACAATGATGATTCAATATTTTATTATAGCTCATACATTGTTAAAATATTTTTACTTTGTAATTTTGGTTGTCCATAGAGGTACATTAATACAGAGAAAAGTTTTTGGATAGAAAATAATATTTACAACATATGAAAAAAAAATTCAAAAAGTATGTGAAAGTATTGTGTTTTGTTGGAATAGGTAGAGGAAACAAAACATCAATAGAAAAAGCTACACTTATGAATGGAAAATAAAATTTTGATTTATTATATTTTGTAGAAAATATTGAAAATAGTCGTGTTATTGATGAAAATCATTGCAACATTTACCAACAATTTAAAGGTCAAACAAAACCAAAATTTATGCAAAAGGATTTTTATAATCATTCTTAAGAAAAATTAAAGTCATTTTGGTCTTAGATAATGCAAAGGATTAAAGTCAAATTTGAAATGTTGTGCCTATAAATGTATTATTTGACAAAAATTGTAGCACATTAATTGTGACTACATAAGATTGAAAATATACAAAATATTGTTTATATATAAATAAATAAAAATATACTATTGATATCTTAAAGAAGATCTATTTTAATATAATTTGTCTCTTATTCTTATAAAAGCCAAGTTAAATTGTCCAATGATCTTATTGAAGATGGCAAAAAACTTACAAAAGCTTGCGAAGGATTATCTATAAGCTTAAAAATAAGAAAGTATTTTTAAAGAAATATATGAAACTTAGATGTTACAAATAAGCAATGTAATAGAAGAAGAAGAAGAAATTTAGAAAGGGATAATCATAATTTCCATCATAAGCTTTGTAATATTTTGAAAATAACCTTTTACATCTTAAAAGATAGAAAAATAAATAAATCTTCTATGTATGCTATTGTTTTATAAGCAATTTTTTCTTAGGTGACATATTAAAAGAAAAAAATTAAAAATTTGGATGAATAATAATAAATTGATTTTAGAACAAAATATGGATTTTATATTAGATATATTAATTTATTAGTTATGTGGATAATTAAATTTGAATTATGAACATGATTGCAATTTGTACTTTTTTATGAAAGGTACTTAATTTGACTTTTTTTAAATAAAATTATAGATATAACAGTAAAAAAATATTTTATATGTAATAATTTTTTATATGATATTTATATATCAATAATAAATTATTTATTATTTTAATGTATATAATAATAAAATTTATTTTAAAATTATTATATTTTTGATTATATATATTAAAATTTTAATAATCATCAATGTTTTTTAATGCTATATTGCTATATAAATAGAAGCATTATGTTATAATAATTAAGATAATATCATATGTATCAATATTAAAGACAATGATTATTATTTTTATGTTTATTTTATCTAAGATTATTGATTCATTAATACTAAAGAAACCATATCAAAGAATGTTTTTAAATTATTTAAGATTTTTATGCTAGTCTTTAAGAATATTTTGTATTTAAATGTTATTTATTAGATGTTTCTTTATTCAAAAGTGTATTCTTTTTTTTAAGCATAAAGCAATAAAGCATAATGT